TATTAATGATACCTCTTTATTATCATAACCTATATATATTATATTATATATAGAGTGTTCAGTAAGTAAGGAAACGGGTTTCTATTGTTCTTATTGTTAGAACAACTGGCCTGTTTCATTAATTATTAAATACTGTATATATATGAATACAATTGTGAGAACTGTTTATAAATGTATATTGTATATGTGAAAGTTTGTTTTCATTTATGTTACACTTTCAAAACAAATGATGACTTTAATCTTATAATATGAAAATAGCGGGCTGTACATAGTTTGATATATCGAGATAGTTATGTCACTAGTACGCGCTATAAATTTGCAAATGTAAAAAAAACTGGCTGTATTATGCTAACATTTTCAGAAAGATATGTCGCATGTACGAGTTTTAACATTTGCTATGGAAAAGTCATTTTTTCAATGTATCTTAAATAAATTGATACATTCACAGTTATTTTACTATTATTTTATAAGGCTAATGAATTGTGATAATTTTAGAGGTATCTTTAATATAAGAACAGAATTTTTTTTTTTTTAATTCACATAGTCAAATAATTTTTATAAAAATTACATTACTACACACTTTTTTTTTATCTAAACGCTAAATTTCTCGTATATTATAATTTATGTATTCAATATTTTTGTGAGTGAAAATCCAAATAAGTTATGAAAAGAGTCTAAAGTGAAGTGAAATTAATTTCAAAAATCCAGTACATTTAGTTGGATAGGCGCATATAGAGGCTATGGTAATTTACAAAAAATGTAGGATATATCTGTGTTCTTATATAAAAATATTTTTAGTGTGAAAAAATAATAATAACACCGTGTAAAGTATTAATTGTAGTTTATAAATTCCAAAAAAATGAGAAACCTGTTTAGATATTAATTTAAAAACATTCAAAATCACTATTATAAATCTTTGAATAAGAATGTGCATAAAGTTCTCTATTCGCGTTGAACCTAGTTTTATGACGAATTAGAACTCTTATTTAGTATAGATAATAAGTGTAGTTAGATAAAGTATCAATTACGACTTTGTTAACAGATATTCTTAAAGTATGATAGTAAGATATATTGTGGTCATTTTTTAAATACACCAACTGGCTATACAGAAAACACATAAAAAATCAAATAGCTATTTGNAAGTATCAATTATGACTTTGTTAACAGATATTATTAAAGAATGATAGTAAGGTATATTGTGGTAATTTTTTAAATACACCAACTAGCTATACAGAAAACATAAAAAAACAAAAAGCTACTTGTAGTTGAATTTTCCGTGTATTATATATGTTATAATAATTGCATAATAAAAATTATGAAAAAAATTCGAATAAAGTTATGTTAAATATTCAAATGCCATTTACTATAAAAATAATTTTTATGATAATAGTTCATAATTTTGGCCTAGTTTATATGATTAAATTTCAAATTTTAAATGTCAGATACTAGATTTATTGTGTATTATAATAATGAATAGATTCTATTTTCGGGAACTGAATTAAAATTTCCCTAAAATTAATGTGGGATATATTTTTTTGGGGGGTTGCGGTAAATTAAATTAGGAATTAATACATATCTAACACTACTAAATACTATTTTACGTTAAGTTTTAATCTGTGAAATACAATTTTAATAACTCAATAATAATTGTAATTATAATAGTTCTATTATTTTTAATTACCAATTTTAATGGAAATAAAAAGAAAACAAAGTGTATTTATTTCAATATATGTATTATTAACATTAATGTAAAATAAAAATAATTTTACTAATTACATATAAGGTATAAGGTTAAGTTTAGAGAACTCGCATGTAGTTCCTACTCTAGGTATTTATTACCAAACTAGTTGACCCGAGATGAGATTTTTTCTGATACTATTATCGTTATTGATGTAAAAAAAATGCTAGTTAATCACAATAATTTTCATATTAATAAATAAAGATCAATTCATTTTTTACCGTTTTATCTTTTCAAGGTACTTTCGTACTCATACCCCGAAAGAAAAAATTATTTTAAACAATAAGTAGTAACT